GAGAGAGTGTGTGTGTGTGTGTGTGTGTGTGTGAGTGTGTGTGTGTTTGCGCAGGTGTGGTGATATTTAATTAACGAGCTTTACGCAAACATATTCTAATGCTGAAGCTAAAGTCAATCGCTGACGGGGGAACAGGAGTAAAGCTCATTAGGCTAATGTATTCTAATGAAGCTCATTACGCATAAAAGCAGCTCGTTTCTGAAGATGATCGACCAGAGAACTTAAACGCTCAACAATACTCACATAAACAAACAGATTTAGTAAAACTACACAGTCACTGATCAACCGGTTCAAATGATCGTGTGTGTGCGTGTGTGTGTGTGTGTGTGAGAGAGTGTGTGTGTGTGTGTGTGAGAGAGTGTGTGGCTTTCATTGCTCCTGTACCCACGGCGTCTCACCGTCGGCTCATAATTACAGCCATTAAACCGTCCTTTGGCTCAACAACCTCTAAAGCACGGAGCGGCATTCAGATGAAATCCAATAATCACCCAACAAACTATTCCCTTTTAATTACCCATAAAACACAGATAAACAACAGCACGGAAAACGACGACACCATCAGCATGTCGTATGACACACCGCGACCATAATGCGATTCTCCTGCAGGAATAAAGTACATAAGTATCAACAGTAAATACAAATTACACTTTATCATCACAAGAGAACAAACACGGACAAAACGAGTCAAACCCCGCCGAGAGGCACAGAAAACTTTGGCTCTTTATTATTATTACCATATTTAGTCTTACTTTTCATATTTACACTTACTTGCTTTACATATACATGCTAGAAATAGTTTCAGACATTGTTTAGAATAGAACAAGCTACTTTTAATGACAATTTTAATAAAACAATTATTTTAAAAAAAAGTGATTGCTCATTTCTAGTTTTATCCCAGGATTTCATTTCAATATTTAAAAGATTATTTTGTCTTTTATGTACATTTAAATATTAATTTTATTTAAAATATTTAAACTTAGTTACTTTTATTTTCTGATCTGTCTTAATTTCTCAGTCAACACACTTTAAAGAGTGGTAACCTGCAACTGTTCACCTCAGAAGAGTTTGTTGGTATAAATAATGTATTTAGGTTGATTCAGAGATGTTAAACAATATTTTTCACTTGAATAAAACTAGTTAATATGGATTTATTAATATCATTTTTAGGTAAACATTTTTTTTCAGTGCAGTCTAAATGCATTTTATTTATAATTTTTTTTTTTATAAATTAATAAAATAACAATCAAAATAATGGCTTAAATTAATGACCAAATCCAAAAATGTATAAATTAATAATCAAACTAATCTGACTTACTTTCTCATAGTCAACAGTAAGCATTTATTTTATTTGTATTAATCTGTATTTTATTCAATAGCTTGAAAATGCTCAAATTAAGTGATTGCTCATTTTGGTCAAAGATTTAATTTCATTTAACTTTTTTATTTTAGTTAAAATACCTTAACTTGCTTGAAATTTTAATTTCTATTTTCCAAATTAATATCTTATTTTAATGCATTTTAAATTATTATGCAGAAGTTTACTTTGTTTCAAAAATATGAATCTATTTAAAAAAAGTATTTATTTTCCAAACTAATCTGACCTGCTTTTTCAGTCAACAATCAAAACGTAATTTATTTATTTTATTTATTATTTTATTTTTATTGATCTGACTGTCTGTCCAGTTTTACTGTAACTGTATTATTTGTATGCATATGTGTATTCATGAAAAATACCTAAATCTTGCAATATATAATACTGTACATTAACATGCACATTTTGATTCATACAATATTCTGACTCAAACACGCAAGTTTGCAGCGAAACAAAAGCTGAAAGCTTTAAGCGACGTTAAAACACTTTCTATATTTATTTTACAGTCAGCACAAAGCAGAGCGCCAGGCCTCGGGTTCCTTCAGCGCCGGTTTCACTCAGAAAGAGCACAAGCATTGGATGAGAATGAAGTTTTGCGACGTGAAGAGAAAGAGCCTGATGAGAGCCGCGCATCGCCATGGTGATTTTAATAACAGTGATTATGAAGGAAGGGGTCATTGTGAGAATATTATGGGATATGATGTATTATTACGCAATGACACGATAGGGACAAAAAGACTTTTCCACAAGAAAAGGAAGAGAAATCTCTAATATCACTGACATCCAATCAGACAATTTCCTGAAATCATAAAGTAGTTTAATATTGAAAGCATTCCACCATCTTTAAGACTCATGAGGGAAATTATAGACTAGATAGGGTTAAAGTTCATCTCACAAAATGTATTCTTACGTTCGTAAGTTTGGGGTCCGTAATACTTTACATGTCTTTGAAAAAAGTCTCTTCTGCTCACCGAGGCTGCATTAATTTGATAAAAAATACTGTAAAAATTGTGAATGTAAAGCAGCTGTTTTCTATGTGAGTATGTGTTAAACTGTAATGTATTTCTGTGATGCGCAGCTGTATTTTCAGCATCATTCCTCCAGTCTTCAGTGTCACATGATCTTCAGAAATCAGTATAATATGCTGATCTGCTGCTCCAGAAACATTTCTGATTATTATCAATGTTGAACACATTCATATTTTTGTGGAAACTGTGATGCATTTTATTTTTCAGGATTCACAGATGAACAGAAAGTTCAAAAGAACAGCATTTATTTGAAATAGAAATCTTTCGTAACATTATAAATGTCTTTACTGACAAGAAAAGCAGTGTTATTTTAGAATCACTGAAATAATATTATGTTTTTTTATTAAAATTTTGTATTGTTTTTTTTATATGAAGTTTTACAAAAAAAAAAAATAATTTATTTTATATATGTCCTTATAGTTTTATTTATTATTAAGTAAGTTTGTTAAGTATTTAGTATTCTTTAAGTACTAAAGGAACGGTTGATGAAGTCATTAGAACCGTCGGTCACATTTAAGTGGAAACAGTTACATTCTCATCAATAATTCAGACACAGTCAGTGTAAAAGAGAAAGACAGAGATGGACAGACAAAAGAAAGTTCAAGTAACTTCAATTATTCTCACAAAAACAGAGAAAATATAGCAGCAAACAACTCAGTGGATGGACTGGTAGTACACACACACACACACACACACACACACACACACACACACCGGTTTATATTGCGAAACGCTGAAAATGTGTTGAAAAGTGTTGCAGTACTTTTTCTCTTAATTTTTACCATCAATTCAAACTCATTTTGCGAGACATTTTACCATGATATTTTCACTAAATCAAGAACGCTGATTTAATTAAATGAATACATGCACTGCATGTTCTGCGATGGGTTATCTTTATTACATTGAAAATGAAGAAATTACCCATAATCCTTTAAAAAAACAAAAAACAAACTGAAACGTAATATCTATTTCGTTTTTAATTTTATTTAAATATTTCTTTTATTTTTATTTAGTAATTATAATCATTATTATTATAACTATTATTATCATTATCCTTATTAGCCACATTGAGTTTTGACCAAATTGTGCAGCACAACAACAAAGTTAATCGCATTTTAAATCACAATTGCCATTTTTATCAGAACAATTGCATTTATTGTTTTACAATATTAATATTTATTATTTTGTTTTTATTCAGTAATTTTTATTTTGTTTAGTACTTTATTTAGTGTTTTTATTTAAGCATTAATATTATTATTATTTTATAGCAATATTGAAATATAAATCACAAAGGTTTGGCCAAATTGTGCAACCCAACAAACAAGCATAGCAATCAAGTAATAAATAAATGCATGAATGAATGAATGAATGCATTAATTAATGAATTAATGAATGAATGAAACACAATTAAAAAATATATGAATCATGTTTTAAATCACAATTTAATTTTTTTATCAGTAAATCCAAATTTTTTTACAATAGCAATATTTTTTGTTTGTGTATATTAAGTATTTTTCATTTAATTTAGTATTTTATTCAGTAATAATAATAACAATAATAATACATTTTGGATACACTGTGCAGCCATACAAACATGCCCCCAAAAAATGTTAATTGCTTTTTAAATAGCAATATTTATCAGAAAAATCTCAATTTGACACCGTGACTCTTTCAAAACTCTTACCGTTTAGACGTGGTTTTAATGATGTCCGACACCGTCTGCATGTAGTCAGTGGCCAAAACTACGATCTCCTCTTCCTCTGAGAAATTATCATTGAAGATCCGGTCTAACAAACGCTTCCAGTGGAACTACAGAGCAAGAGATGACAATGTTTATGCTTCTCTCGAGTGATTCTTTCAATGAAATACAGAAGACAGTAAAACTCTTGCTTGAGCCGTCTGCCCTTTGCTTATTGATTTATGGCTCATTTATATCTCCCCAGTTGATTGATTATATTGTAAATTGCAAACATTCTTTGTATTAAAAGTTTTCTGAAATGTTACATTTAAAATAAGGCATTATCGAATTAAATATGCACTGTGCATACATTTGTAGAGAATAGATCTGAACACTGGATAAACTCAGGTTCAAAATTCTTGTTTGATTTTGTTGACATATTAGAGTTAAAGGTTTTTACTGAGGGGATTTTGGATTTATCTTTTTATCAGTTTATAAATCAGAAAACACTGTCAACAGACAGAAAACAGTTTTTCGGTATGTTTTTAGGAATAAAGTGTTGTATAAATCAGTGTGAACTCACAACCTTTAAAGATTTGCATTTTAACCATGTTTTTAGGAATAAAAAGCTCTATAAATCCATGTTGCATATATTTGAACAAACCCTTCAGTAAAAACCTTCAGAATATAGAGAGGAATAAAACTCTAAGTTTTGGTGTATGTACGTGCTGCAGAAGTGGAGAAAAATCTCTTTAAAGATATGTATTATAATTGAAATCTACAGCCACAAATAGATAAAGTGTCATAAATGTTTCCACTAGTCTTGAAAAAACACTTTATGAAAAGCCCAAAATCACAAAATTGACCAGTGCATGAATAAGCAATGTTTTTGCCAGTAGCATCTCTCCTTAAACTCTATTTAAGTTTGTCTGGCTCGGCACAATGGCTCAGTCCCAAACCGTAGTGACACTGTCTAGCTAGAACACTAACAAGGGCTTAAACTGGTTTAGTATGATCAGCCCAAGCTGGTGATAACTACAATAACAATACACTGTATAAACACAAACTTGAGCTCTTACATTCGCCATCAATTCAATTGCACATTTTACATGCTTGACGTTAATATCATTATATAAGTCGCTTTAGAATATGAATCGCCGCACATTCAAAATTATAAAAAAAAACTCATTATGAAAAATATGGTACTCTGACCAAACATGTAGACTATAGAATAAAGTCACTGTTTAATATCAGCTAAAAATAAAAACACACTAAATATAAGAGTGTGTGTGTGTGTG